CATAGTTATTGAGTTATGATGCGATTAATTTTTTTGCTCGTAAGTCTAAAGTCCATGAAGGAAACGGTTTATACTTTTGTTTGCGGTTATTGCAGGTTATTTTTGAAATAACATATTTTCATTCAAATCGAATGAGGAATATTTTTGTAGGACATATCCTTCATCTATCTCGAATCCTTGTGTGTCTTTTTTGTCATTTTTTCTTGAAACGTAATTAAAATATACAAATATTCTACCAAAAAGGTATCTTATAAGATTTTAGATAAGGTCCCCAAAGACAAGTAATCCACATTCGAATGTTTTCATTGTCCTTTTTTTACTTTCAACCGATCCCTGCTCTGAAAACCTTTCAATTTCGAATAAAACATACAATGAAAACATACATATATCAATTTCTCGTCTTTGGGGAAACTTATCTAAAATTTTATGAGCCACAATTTCTTTCTGCATATGTTTGTAACAGGGAAAAATAATCGAGATAGACCCATGGTTCCTTTTGAGAACATGCATAGAATCACTTTCTGACTCGATTTATGCATGTCCGTCCGTCCATGTATTTTTGTGAACAAACTACAGGTCGCATCTATGATCCGATTTGGATGAAATTTAGCACATGTCACTTAATCGGCCCAAGGACGAACCCTATTGAAATTGGAGAAAATCGGTTCAGATTTAGATATAGCTCCCATATTTAGTTTCGTCCGATTTTAGGTAAATGGAGCACCAAAAGTCCCTATATATCTTTCGATTTGCACGAAATTTGGTATAGCCTACTGAATTAGGTCTAGAATTCAAATTTAGATATAGCTCCCATATATAGTTTCGCCGGACTTTAGGTAAATGGTGCACCAAAGTCCCTGAAAATCATTTGATTTGCACGAATTTTGGCATAGCGTATTGAATTAAGTCTAGAAGGACGTGTGCTAAGTTTCGTGAAAATCGGTTCAGATTTAGATATAGCTCCCATATATAGTTTCGCCCGATTTTAGGTAAATGGTGCACCAAAGTCCCTGAAAATCATTTGATTTGCACGAAATTTGGTATAACCTACTGAAATAGGTCTAGAATGATGTGTGCTAAGTTTCGTGAAAATCGGTTCAGATTTAGATATAGCCGATTGACACAACGTTAATATAAATTAATCTCTGGCAAGTTTGCTTTAAATCGATTCGGATATAGATATATCGTAGCTTCCATATATAATTTCGACTTATTTATGTTAATTGTACACCAAATTATCGCTATGTGTCTGATTGAGATTAAATTTTAAACAGTGCAGAATACCGATTTTATACCCTCCGTCTTATGGCTAATGAGGGTATATACACTTTGATAATGCGAAAATGTACCTCATCGAAATATTGGTTTTAGACACCATGTTTCTTTGGACCAAATCCGTTTCAGACAATTTGAGGTTGATTTACAAATGTATGACCATCCGTCTGGTGCGCACGATAACTCTAGAAGCGAGTAATCGATTTCAAACAAACTTTGCAAATCGTTATATTTCTTCCAAACTTTGTTCAAGTAACATAAGGTACCTCCTCCACAAAATGGTCAAAATTGTGCAAAAAAGTATAAAAGTATATAATACCATGCGAACGGACTATCAGATTTGAACCAAACCTTGCACCACCAGATCTAGTCTGAAGATATGACCCCACTCATTCTGGTACCTCCCCACACAACTGGCCAAAAAGAAAGGTTAGGTTGAAAAGAGTGGTGGATAATACCACCACATACCCAACACGAGAAAGACATACACATAAGCCAATTGAGGCCTGTTGTGCGCTCTGGTAATCCGCAGGAAGTTAGAATTAGTGAAAGTTTAGATTAAAAACATTTTGGGTTTAATCCCCCTATGTATCTAAGAATTCCGTGTTTTTTGAAAACTAATTCAGTCTTCTCCATTAAGATTTTTGTGATATTTTCTGTCCCCTCATTTTCCCAAAGGGTCTTGTGGATCTCATTCGCCCATTTCCTCATTTCTTCAAGCCTATATCAGATTTTGATATAGACCTCATATCTCTTTCAGATATGTAGTTTCGATAAAGTTCCCCATAAAATATTTCGCCGGAATTCATGTGCATTTAATTTGTGTTAATTTTTGTTCAAATTTAGATATAGCTCCCAATCAGTTGGTCTATATAGAAATGCTAAGATTATCCCTTTCACATTCTAAAGTTGGTATAGAGTATCATGCAATCGATCCTTTCCATCATCATTTCAGAACTATATTTTTTGAACTATATATTTTTCTTTAAGACTTCATCTTAATGCATATTCAAATTTAATATAATTTATATAATTTCAATATGTATTTTCTTTGAATCTACCAACAGCCACTTATGTACAGTTATTTCAATAGTTGTTAATATATTTTGTCACCAAATCCAATGTCAGCATATCTCTTTACAATCAGCAAACAATGTGCATTGGTTCGTTCGTTCAACCAACAAATGACCAGCATAAAATTTCAAAATAATTCCCAAAACAAAATTCTTCTACCCTCAAATCATAACAAGCATTTCAATCCACCCACCAACAGAATTTCATGTTCTTGTTGTTGCTGCTGTGTTTTTGGTCCAACATTTATCGCTTTTTGTGTGCTAAACGAATCAATTGTTTATAATACAACAACTACGACAACAAAAATGTACTCACTTAAAACGAATAAACAAATTTAGTGGCTATTGTTGTTGGATTTAAATGATATTTTTTGTTTTTTTTTTTTCTTTATTGGCAAGCAACAGCAACAAATAGTTTCAATTTGTTGTTTTTGTTTTTTTTTTCAGAATACTCTATTGCGGATAATTGTTTAACACTAAACACTGGCAAATCAAATGAAAACAATAGCAACAGCATCATCAGCATCACCATTCCAATACACAAATCATTTGCAACGACAACGAGGCACAGCATCAATCCAAACAAAATGGGTTTGATGAGTCTTGTTGGAGAGGCCAATAATCTCTCCCCATCCATCAGCGAAGGTCCATTATACTCTTTGATTTGTTTTTCTGTTGACTCTGCCATATTCTTGTCTTGTTGTGGCGAGTGAGTGTGTGTGTATGTGCTTGCATATTTACAACGGATGTTGTTTATTTAGTTCAGCAGATTGTTTGTGGAATGAGCTTTGCAAAGTATTGTAAGTACTGTTTGTTGGTTTGTTTTTCAGTGGTTATTGTGTGTGAGAGACCGTTATGTTCTCTTAGTACATTATCGCTACCACCCACTCTACCCATACTATGTTCCGTTTTACTTATGGGGAAACAGTTTGATTGTGTTCTCTTTGGATGCAGAGAGTATTTAAATTACTTATGGGGGAAGAGTAAGTACATGTGTTTGTATGCGTCAGATAAAATTGGTTGAATTTTTGTATGGGTAAATTATGTTTTTCTCTTTCATTGAATAACAAGTGGTACATGGGGGAGAGAGCAATTTAATCTATCTGCATTTGTCGTTGGTATGAAAATGTTAAAGAGACTCACGTATGTACGTGTGTATGAAGAGAAGAATATTAAATCTGTTTTAATTGCTTTATTGATATTGTTAAGCTGAGATTCTTGAAAATGTATGCGAAACGAATGGTTTTAGTGGAATGTTTGAAATAAATTGTTAACAACATTGGAGAAATTTAAAATTCCAATAATGGTTCGACGACTTCCTAAATTCCGGGGTATGCCATGGTAACATTTTAGTAGTAAGATTTGACATCAAATGAGAACAAAATTAGAACCCATTCGGTTGAAAATCGGGAGCAAACTCCCCAAAAAATAATTTTTGAGAGCGACAGTTGTATGGAGGCTATTCGCGATTTTAGCGGCATAAAATGTATCCCGACATGCTAGCTTCACCAAATTTGGGGTGTAGAATACTAATGTTAGAAAAGGTGATTTATGAAAAAATGGGCGGGCCATGCCCCCAGCATGTTGGGTATTTTGACGATGCTGGATTCGTTTTTCAACCGAATTGGCTGTAATTTGGTATTATGGGTTCTCATTGTATAAAAAATCTCCATACCAAAAATGATCAATATTGGACTATTTTTTCGGGTAGCCCCCATATAACGGTATACCCCATTTTTCGGAATTTTTGGGATTTTGTGAATTTTTTTTAAACAAATTGTCTGTCTTTGTGTATTTAAGGCTTTACTTGGGTAGCAAATCTTCCAACTAGAAGCTATCGATAGTGGTCAACGTTTTAAAGTAGTCCCCATATAACGGAACCTCCGAAATTCCGATATTAAGAGGCGGTTGGGCAAGTTTTATTATGGATTCTCTTTTCTTGAAATGACTGCTGTCACAAATATGGACAGGGAAGCCTGTAGTTACGGATCTTGCCACTGATCTCCATTAGCTCTCTTCATTTTTTTGTTACAAATATTCTCCCCAAATAGTATTTTTAATATCTTTACAAATAAAAACGTTTTATACTCTACTGTCACTTCCAACGCCTAGGCTTATTTAGGTAACCAGCAAAACTTCTTCAGTGTGAATACCACCGTATTTTTTACACCAATTGTTCGACGATAACATCATCTGCCACGACACTCGCCCTGAATGCAGATGCGTACACACACACACACTTTTTTATTATTTCAAATTAATTGCTTGGAGATAATATTCTACATCTGTTTTGTTATCATAATCTGTGGCATAAGCAAGACAGTTGGGCGCCATTTGAATCACCTAATGGTTTTATTTATTTTTTAACTTAATTTAAATTTTTTTAATTATAAGTAAAAAATTACAAAAAAAAGTTCCTAAAATAAACAAATCCACGCCTTTTGTTATCATAATCTGTGGCATAAGCTAGACGATTGGGCGCCATTTAAATCAACTAATGGTTTTATTTTTGATTTTCAACTTAATTTTATTTTTAATTTAATTATAAGTAAATAATTACAAAAACATTTTCTTAAAATCAGTCATAAATCACAATACAGTCATATTACCCGCAATGTAAATATTTTTTTGAGATCCTTTTTTGATGATGATTTAATTTGTTGTCATCATAGATTCGATTTCGACCGAATTACTGTAGGGTCCATTATGATTGAATTTCAATCTGAAATAGAAAACACACTATACATTTTATTTTGTTTAAATAAATTAAAAAAAATTGCTAGTTGTCAGCTTACTTGTTCCTTATGGTAGCCAGAATGTTTTTTCGGCAGACAAAGAGGTAGAAAATTGTAATTCCCTAGAAAAAAAGAAAAAAACAAAAGTAAGAAAATTTCTTAATATAAATAAGATGCGCACACATGTAAACACAAAAAGATTGGAATGTGATTTTGTAGTAAAAAGGAAGTTCAAAATTTTATACAGAGAGTCCACCTCATAAAAACACAGAGTGACTCGAAACTGTTTTCTATTGAAAGTCGTCCTGGTCGCCGGATGAATATATTTTTCTATACAAAATTGTTCACCGTCCGTAACTTACCTGTGTGGCATTCAGAATATCGGGTATACAATACAATGGTATATCTTCGGATATAAGCTGTTTCAAAAAATACGAAATAATTTCAAATGACCATGTGGCACACATCAACACAAATAGGCGAAAATTCAAATAAAATCTAAAAAATAAATTTGAATTTATTTGGAATGTGAAACATTTGCAACTGATCCCGGCTTACGTGTTTCTTTCGTCGCAGCGCTGTGAATTTCTTTTAGACATGTGCATATATCGCAATATTTTACAATAGAGTACAATACTAAATGTAACAGCTAGCAGACAGGGTCCATACAAATAAATCAGAGCTGACCAGCGACTAGCTGCAAAAACAAGAAGAAAAAATAAATCCTAAATAATCTGATTTTCAATTGTGTTGGTCAATTTATACCGACTTTCTATGCTGCAATGATCAGCATTAATACCAGGTGTTAAATCCTCGGATATTTTACTGGTTTGGGCCACATAGGTCAGTCCTGTCATTGTTAGGGGAACCAATAAGCCCACAATGACATATTTTAAAAATACAAATGATGTCCCAGCAAGCATAGAAGTAACTTTCGACCAAATGTCAAAGCATATAATGCAGTTCCAAACTAAATAACTTATTACACAAAAATAGTTAATATAACCTAAAAAATTAAATTTGGGAAAGTGAAAATATTTTTTTTATTATTTTTTTTCCGATACCACCTACCGACTACTACACACTCCAATGCCGGCAAGGTTTCATTTGAGTTGACTTTTAAAAATCCCAACACCGAATATGAAATGGAGAGGGCACCCAAATAGGGTATCATACATTTGTCAAGGTTGCTCTTGGCTTTCAGGATACAGCTGTGGCTGAAAATCGTCAACAAAAAAAATGGCACCGAGACGAGCATACCTGTAATAAAGAAATGCATTGAATTTCTTAAAACACAAAAATGAAGAAGAAGGAGGTGAAAACCACTTACCGCAACCCGTTATTACGTCATTCCAGTTCACGGGTGGATCATAACAAATATGCGGTTCAACATAAAACAAATATCTGCCAGAATCAAAATCCTCTACATAAGTTATATCAAAACAAAAGTCCATGTAATTTAGATATGTACCATTGTACCAAAGTGTACCATTCTAAAAGAATAAAAAAACAACAAAAACAAATACAAGAGTATAAATATAGTACTAAATTTCAAATTAAAAAAATTATTTAAAAAATCCACGTCTAATGGCCTAATAGTGTTTCGAAAAAATTATTTAAAAAATCCACATCTAATGGCCCAGTAGTGGTTCGTACAAATGGCCTAATACCAAACATTTCTTCAATGTTTATTTAAAATTTAAACATCATTCTTATCTTAAAACATATATCTTGTTTTCTAATTTATCTTCTATTTTTCATTCCAGGTCGTTGTGAATTATATATACTCGGATTCCCGTATGACGACAATCGAAATCGATCTACAAATATGTTGGAAATATGACAGGCCCGCCTATAACGATCATTCTGTTCTCTCAATCATAAAATTTTTTTCTTTGGCAAAGTCCACAAAAATACCAAGAGCCCAGAATTAAATAGAAAATATCCCGCCAAAAAAGGATAGAAAAAAATGCATCTGGCAATACCGTAATAAAAAATTTCAAAAATTGTAGCATACTTTCAGGCGCTTAATTTTTTCGCGGGTAGGGTGATTCCGAACCAACATCTTGGAAGAGAGTTGCCAGATCAAAATATTTCCAAAAATTTTGGTAGAGAGTTGCCAGATCGAAATTTTAGGCATGGTGTTGCTATATTAAAATATTTTATTTTTTGGAGGGTAACTTGCTATTTTATTTGCAAAATTAAATATTAAAAAGCTAAGAAAGACCTTGGTGATTATATTAAAAATCCAGAAGGTCCGAAGTCACCTTGGGTAAAATTTTAGAGTTATGACAAGATGAGTTATAACGTTGTTTGCAGCTATGGCAGGTTATTCTTAAGATTATATGCCTTCAATAAAATTGAATAAATTGATGATTAGGAAAAACTGTCGGATCTCTTGGTCGTATATATTAAACATAAAATGATATCATAATGCCAACGACATTAATAGAATTTATTTGCGGGAGAGAGAAACGGATCCTTACATTACACTCAGATTTTTTCCAGATTTGTCTTCGGCAAACCATATTTTAAAAATACAGTTCAAGTGATCATTTTAAACATAACTTTTTACCAAATTGTTTTCTTATAATATTTTATATCTTTGAAAATACGAATAAATTTCAAAATAGCTGGACTTCTCAGTTCAAAAGTTATGGTAGAAAAACTTAGACTTCAATATTTCATTTTCACCATTTCAATTAATGCATCAATAGATGGCGCTGCTGTTGTCAAATCGTCAGATCGTTGGGGAAAATTGCAATAACTTTCAAATGAGCCAAGATATTTCGAAAAATCGAAAGCTTAAAGGATCATCTATTCCTATATCGCATTCGTTTGTCAAAAAATGAACTCCTAACAGAATTTTGTATTACAATACCTCAAGTAGTTCAAAAGTTATAGCACAAAAACTTAGCATTAAAGTTTTCATTTTCGCCATTTCAATCTAATGTATCAATAGATAGCGCTGAGGTAGCACAATTGTCTGATCGTTAGGGAAAAGTCCAATAAATTTCAAATGAGCTAAGACATTTCGAAAAATCGAAAGCTTAAATGATCTTCTTCCTATATCGTAAGAATTTTGTAGCACTATTAACCTACTCATAATAGGGATTTAAAATTTATTTTACCGCACAGCGGATCAGCGAGCTTTAAGCTGCACATAAGGTTCTATATTAACATAGTGATTGCAATCTTACAAACACCTAGATTTTCTCTAACGACATGACGATTTGGCGACCGCAGCGCCACCTATTGGTGCAGTAGATTGAAATGGCGAAAATTAAAACTTCAAGATTTTGGTTTTTGTGTCACATCTTTGGAATTACTTGAGATAATTGGTGTCATACGAAATGTGTGAGAATCAGCTATTTCGAAGATAGATGGCGTCGCAGTCGCGAAATTTACAGGTTGTTTGGAAAAACAAGGTTTTGCCAAAATTGTAATAACTTTAAAACGAGATGAGCTATTTCGAAAAATCAAACGAATATATCTAACTTCAATAGAAATTGAGTTCAGAGGTAGTTGTGTAGGTTATCATATGGTTGGCCCCGTATAGTTGGCTCCTCTCACTAGTTTTATACATTTTTTTATCTCACAGCAAACATTCTCAATATCGGTTCTCTTTTTTGTATAGACACATATAACAGTAACCAAATTATTCGGTATAGATTGAGAATTTTAGACATATTTTTCAATCGTCACGCGACATGTTGGAGTACCTAGCACAGCCTGAGCGTCTGTAGTTTGGTATTTCATGCAAGCCACGATCTATATTCTATATTTTCAATATCCACCTCATGGTTTAGGCTATAAAAAGATCCGGCCGATCATAATGACGGTTTTACTTGTTTTGTCATCATATTTGTATTTTCGATCTTCAAATATTTTTAGAGATTTCATGATAATTTGTACCTCCATTCTGTGGTTTTATAATCATTTCTTTGAATAAAATATGACTATTATTATGATTTTATGATTCGAACTATTTTTCCAACATCCCAAATTAAAGTTCCGCAAAACCGGCGAACTAAGGACAACATGTTGAGTTACTCATTTTTTTAATCACGCGACCTTATTTAATTTATTTAAATTGCAATTATTATACGTTGATGTGTAAGATAACTATATATAAAAATATTTAAAAATGTACCACACATTTTATTTTTAACATCGCGAGCAATATATCATTTCTTCAGTTATTAATGGTACTTAGTATTCATATATTAAAATGAAAAAAAAACGCACACACACACACACACACTTTTACCTCGAAATAAGTCCACTCATCTACTTCTTCTCCTTCTTCATTTTCATAGGGCAGCAATGGATACTTATTCGGACACTTCGTTATATTAATGTGATAAAAATCATCGATTAAATGCATATCCCGAATGCTGCCATCGTCTGAGGATACAAATATTTGAAACATTTCTTGATTTTCATCCGTTTTGGGCAGCCGTTTGTAATCGTCCAAAATGTTCGACGAACAGATTGGTAAGCAATGCACTGCATTACAAATACATGCACGATGTTCGATGCTGTTAGACGACAATTTGTCAGCATTGTTATCCGTTAATTTCGATTTTGTATAATTCACAACCAAATCATTTGGAATTTGAATATCACGAAAAAAATATGGACCATTTTCAATAGGTGTCACCACCACTTCTGTATAATTAAAGCGACATCGCGAACTGTAATTTTTACAAATAATCGCATTTATCCGAATAAGTAGAAAAATCGTGAGAACGCACAGATTATATTGAATCATTTTTTTGACCCAATTTTTTTCCGTTATTCTGCTATCTTTTTTATTGCGATTCCAGCGATTGTAATGTAAAGTCAATACTGAATATTAAAATGATATTTTGTAAGAAGCAACACAGCCAACAACTAGCCAGGTCCGTTTTATTCATATGTTTTGGGTTATAATTAGCAGAGAGAGAGAGAGTGTGTCTACTTACTTGGTTGGCTAACCACAAGCAATGCACAGTGGGTTGGTGTTCTTCAATTTGTGAGTAATATAGCACAGTGGTGTAACATTTCGGATAGGCAAAAATTTTAAAAATAAAGATGATATTATATTGCCAATATAGCCCTTTATGTATATATTTAGAGTCCTTTTAAGGCAAGGATCGCTGAAAATTTGAACAAGACAGTGAAAACCTACGAATGTCAATTATACCTTTCATAAGACACCTCTTCATTTGAATATCAGCAATATGAAAAAAGTTACAGCAAAAAGAAATTAGGTATGCCATTTTTATAAGCCTGTCGTCAGCGCCATCTATGGGCATGATTCAAATAATTCGTGCATCTATTAATGCAGTAGATTGAAATGGCGAAAATGAAACAATAGTTTTTGTGCTCCCACATCCGAGTACATACATCAATTTAAAGATGGGCAAATCTTCTTCGTTATGTCATTTTCTCCGGCCTTTCGAAGTAAATATATACGCCATAGAATGTCAATTTCGCCATTTCTCACACAAAAGTTTGGATCCATTTCGCGGTGTCACCAGCTCTTAGGGCCACACAAAGCTATAACACCCAGGCAACATAGTTGTGTAGGGCCCATATATTCGACTTTAATGGTACCATTTTATTCGATATTTTGGGAGTATTGCCGAATTGCCTCCAAATTGTTTTTTTTTCAGAATCCCATGGAGTTTAAAATATTTCCCTTTGAAAATTCTGAAGGCGGATGGACTTTACTCCGAACCCTCCGTTTTTATTGCCAAACCAAAAATAAAATTCACATTCCTCTTTTTTTGTGGAAGATTTTAACATTCCGTTGCCTTTTTTATTGCACGAATTTTTTTCGATTATTTTGACTAACTAAACTAGATTTTCGGAGAATATTCATAGATATCACAAGCCAGTCGAGTCCATTTCGGGGTCATTTAATCATTCTGCTCTTTAATGGCGATGACGGTATTTAAGCTTACGCACGGTCTTATAACGATAACCATCCTCAGCCAATTCAGCTGTTTTGGCTTCGGCAGCCATATCAGCAACGGGCATTTCTTCAGCGGGGGGCAAATAAGCAGCCGAAGTATTGTCAGCATTTTCAGCTTCAGCTTCACGACGGTGACGGCGAACCTTGAAACGTTTTACGGTCTTGTAACGGTAGCCATCATCACCCAAAATAGTTTTTAGATCGGGAGCCAATTCAACTTCGACGGGGGGCAAATATTCATTGGATGGTTGTTGGATTTCGGCAACATCACGACGATGGCGATGACGCAACTTCAATTTACGCACGGTCTTGTAGCGGTAACCATCATCGGCAACCTTGGTTTCGGCTTCCTCACCAACTGGGGGCAGGTATTCTTCGCTGGGAGCATTTACAGGTGGCAAATATTCCTGGGAAACATCACGACGATGACGGGAGCGCAATTTCAAGGTGCGTACAGTCTTGTAGCGGTAGCCATCATCAGCCACTTTGGTCTCGGCAACGGGTGGCAAATATTCTTCACTGGGTTCGTTTACGGGTGGCAAATATTCCTGCGAAACATCGCGGCGATGGCGGGCACGATATTTCAATTTGCGAATGGTCTTATAACGATAACCATCTTCGGCTAATTTGGCGGCATCGGCTTCCTCGGCGGGTGGTAAATATTCCTGGGAGGGTTCTTCGACGGCAGCATCAATGGCATTCGATTGAGCTGAGACCAGAGCAGCGGCAAGGCCCAAAGCCAACAAGGTTATGTATAATTTCTATGGGACAAAAATGAAATTGAGGTATTTTTTATTTTAATTTTAAATCCTTTATGTCTGTATTTTATGTGCCAGGATAACTTACCATTTTTGCAGAAGTTTTGAAATTTTATTTAACAAAATCAAATTGGAAACAATTTCTATTTTGTTTACACTTCTGTTGGCTAATAGGCCAATGATGCTTTATTCCATTCGGCCAAGAGTATTTATAGTCGAAAACTTTGTTTTGCGGGGTCGACACAAGTGTGTGATGGTTATGGTGATGACGATGATGACCATAATAGAAGTGTGTGTGTTTGGGTGTGTGTTTTTTCAATAATCTCCGCTCAGCTCGGCTCCATTCCTCTTCAACTCTCATTCTATTTTTTGGTTATAATACGACTACGAATTACGACCATAAGTGGGTTACCAAACACTTAATAACAATTCTGAAGTACTTTAATAACCACTACCAACAACAACAACGATATCATCATCAAAATAGTTCCATAACATGTTAGCCACAATTCTAAAATAAACAAAAAACAGCAACAACAAAAACTACGATTTTTAAGGAGGAAACGATAGAACCCTTACTTACCATCATCATCATGTTCTTCTTCTTCTTCGTCATCATCATGGAGCTGTGCTTTTTTGGCAACATTTGTTGTATTCATGTATGTGTGTGGCTTAGTCAATTGTATTTGATGTTGTTGCTGTTATCTATTTTGACTCCAATTTAAATAAAAAAGCCGAAGTGGTGGCCACTTCAAACAAAATTTTGCTACAATTTCAAATTGAAACAAGTTGTGGTTGCCCATTTTTTATTTCGTTTTATTTTTATTAAAATGTAATTATTTCGATTAAATACATTTATTTTTAGGTTTTGGATAAGTGTGTAGACTTGTCAATTGCGTAGATGTGTTAAAAATACAATTGTTGATTTTTTTTATTTTTTAAACATAAATTTTTGAATGTTGTTATTAGTCGTACAAATCATTACAAATGGATCTGCAGTATATGTGACTAACAATTGCTAATATTCTATATAAAGATATTAATTTTATTCCCGCACATTATATTAAAATGTCATTGCGGGTAAATCCAAATAAAGCGATTCTTATGGGAAATTTCGATTGTAAGACTAACTATTGACTTTGTCACCAGTCACCAACCATACCTAGATATTCAACACGTCTCAAAAATACCAAATTACAGACACTCAGATGACTGGTAATGTCAAATACCTAGGATCATGAAAATACATAAACTGCCGCCGCATCGATTGGAAATTAAAAAACAAGTCCAAATTTTTGATGAAGATCGGTCAATGATAAGCGGGTCGAATGGAGAACTTAGCCGCTCGATAGGTCTGACGATGTCCATGTCCGAGAATATATGGTATAGCTCATGGTTCATTCGACGGCGTTATTCACCGTCGACACAGATGGACCCATAGATCTTCTGGAGCATCTTTCTCTCAAACATGAGTTGCATAATCTGCTTGTGCAATTACACATGCTTCAGCTCCACCCATGTTTGGTGTACAGAGTTCCATTTCTGTTCACATTTTGCATCTCGTATGACCTTTCCCAGCAGGATGTTAAACAGGTCACACGACAAACAGTCACCTTGTCCTCATTCGGTATTGAAGGGCTCCGAGTAGTCCTTTCCAATTTTAACTGTTGACCTTGTGTCAGCTAAATTTATCCTGCATAGCCGTATTAATTTTGCAGGAATGCCAAAAGCAGGCTGGCTTTAAACACCTCTGAATGGATAGGGCTCTGGTGGATAGGGCTTTGTCAGGCCTGAAGCTGCACAGCACACTGCGATGTGAAGAAGACTTATTCCTCATAGTTAGTCTTGTCTCCTTTTTATGCATGGGACACGGGATGCTGAGTTTCCAATCGTTGGCATGCATTCCTCTTGTCTTGTCTCCTTTTTATGCACGGGACACGGGATGCTGAATTTCCAGTCGTTGGGCATGTATTCCTCCAGCCAAATTGTATTAATCAACTGCTACATGCTCCTTTCCAGCATCTCACCACCAGTCTAGAATAGTTCGGCTAGTGATCCATAGGTACCTGCTGCTTTATTATTCTTCAGCCGATTGATTGTTATTTTGACCTCATCTTGGCTAGGTGCTATACACTCTATACCGTCATCTCTTATTGGTTCTGGGGTATCTTCTTCATCGCCACTATTTGATACCAGAAGCTTTTCAGAATGCTCCTTCCAAATCCTCAACACGCTATTTGTATCTGCCACCAGGTTTCCTTCTCTACCTGCACCAATGCCTTCGGTTTGGTATTTTACTCGTTGGTAAATTTTCCGGACTCCATTCTGACTCCTTGCATTAAAATATCCTGGCAGAATTTTCTTGCCTTATGTCTATGAAATCTTTCTCAAGGATCTTCTGGTTATAAAAGACCTTCTTAAAAATGTTCTGTCAATTGGATTGGATTATGGTGGATTTCTCCAATCGTTTTTCCCCAATGGTTTTATTGAAGACTTCTTAATTCGACACTATCTGGGTCTTATTTGCAGATCAAAAATCTCATCCATGTGCTTTTGTCGTATATTCCTTATCACTCCTTTGACTTACGAAGACCCCATCCCTTGGAAAGGCCATTTCGTCCTAAAAATAACCTCTGAAGTAGCAGCTTATAAGAACTCTGGGACCCCTTATTTTCGTAACATTTTATTTATTGTCTTTTTCGTCTTTTACAACCGAATGATTACCCTGAAGACTAACTCCTCTCAATGTTTATTTTCAAAAAAAAAAAACAAACATGTATCTATGCAAGGACTTTGCAACTCATGGGACCCCCTATCCTAATAGAAAAACTTACCTCCAAAGTGTTTTATAACAATCCTTTATAAAGGCGTACAACACAACAATCAGCATCACCGCTTTAATTATTTATGCCAGGTGGTGTATTGGTTAGTGATTTGTGATTTTCCTATTATTAACACTTCGTTAAACTTCTGCGTGACGTCGTCATCCCTTTTTTTATTCATATCCAAAAAACCGTCAAACCGACAACCAAGGCTTGCACTGAATAAATTCTCCTTTCAGGAACGTACATACGTAGTAAAATTGCCAACACATATTATGTGTGAGAGTGTGTGTGGATATATGGATAAAATGTTATTTTTGTTCTACCACAAATCACCCCCACATATTCCTCTGGTGATGATGTGACTGAAGTGAACGGTTACTAATTCTGTGGAGCCCTAAGTGATTTTACTTCTCTATTTCATAGAGAAGCTACAATATAAAAAATCTAATGACAACATATCGAAAACGTCATAAAATTCGACCGGATCGAAATTTGTATACCCTCCACCTTGGGTAAGACAATCACAATGGGTCGTGACCTTTATATTTAGGCCATATCATGATAATTTTTTGTCCAAAGATTTCTTTATCTTCAATGAAATATCACAAAGAAGAATGTGTAGAGTATACATTTGTCAAAAATCGACAAGGCCCACTCACTACTGAATTTTCCCGAAGAGCTGATACTTATAACAAAAATACCCTAAAAAGAACCCTGTCTACGACAGCCACTTAAAATGTTTGTCTACCTTTTGAAGGCCCCTTCAAGAGTCGTATATCGATGAAATATCTGTGATCTTTTGATCTGCTCTAGGAGGCTCCTATATAACGTCACCTCCCAAATTTCGGTATTTCAGGAGATTTGGGTTTGTTCTCTCGTATAATTTGCCAAAAATTTTTTATTTTGGTTTCTCATGGGGTAGAAAACCTTGCTTACAAAAATTATCAATATTGGCCCTTAGTGTCAGATTAGCCCTCATATTCTTATGTGATACGCCACTCTCTCCTTCGCTTCAAAAGTTACCTTCATTTGCCCATCCTGCGCCCCCATTAACATGCATCGGTGCCAGCAAATTTGCAGAAAATGAATGAATGGCGGCATCCAATGGGATTTCAGGCTTATTTGAGAAAAGATTGGCCATAAATGCTCAATGGATGGCAACGAAATGACTTTTGGGTATAGCTGCTAATAGCAATGGCAAATACACACAGCTACCCCCACCCCCATTTCTGACACACACACACATACCCAGAATCAGATCCACTTTTTTAATTACGCATACCCCACATATATATGTATGTACACACATATTTAAGCAAATATTCTCATGAATCCGTTTTGCTGATATTCTCAATTTCCATCCGATTGGGAAAACAACTTGTGTGACAATAACTTATAAAAATCGTGCAACAATAACAACAACAAAAACACACATATACATTATGGCAACAAAAAAAATTTTGTTCATAGCAATGACAAAAGTTTTACTGGCAAAAGGAGAGACCAATCATCATAACTTTAGCAGATGAAAAATCTGGCCCAGCTAAGGTTTATGGTGATTACGGCGGTTGGGTGTCCTTGTTATTATTCTTACTGCCGTTGTGTTGCTGTTGTTGTTTTGTCGACAATATTTGCTGAGTTTATTTGTTGGCAATTGCCATGGCATGTCAGGCAATTGGGAGTTCACATAGCAAAAATAAAATCGACAAGAACGTTTACTGTAACAACAACAACGATAACAACCAGTGTTGCATCCAACCAACCGACCAACCTATCGTCGACAGTCATCATTAATCTGTAAACATTTTTGCAGATTATTAATTATGAATTAGTGTACGAGTATTTTTGCAACATACACAGTTTCCAATCAATTAAATTATTAAGTTGCTTGCACTCACAGACGCACATCTACACACACACTCTCTCAATGGCACACACATGCATGCATACATTTAATCAGCACTGAGGCATTCAGGCAGAGCAAAGCAGACAGACATACAACCATACATGCACTCAACGGCAAGTATCCTTGTATACCACTCCATTTATGTATGCATTTTGAGTGTGTGTGTGTGTGTTCATAGCAGTAATACATGTTTCACCTGTATGCAATTGTGTGTGTGTGTGTGCCAAGTACTTATACCTATCGATATTATCATCAAAATTGATTTGCTGCTTGAATCCTTTTGTTCAATGGATAATGATGATGTTGTTGTTGCTGCTGTTGCTACTATTTCCAAACATTAGTGTTTTTAACATAATTAAAAAGTTTTCCCCCAGATTCGAATTTATGTCGAATGTTTGTTTTCATTTTTGGAACATGGGAAATATTAAAGGTAACTATTAAACGGTTAGAAGAT